CTCTCAGCTAACTGTATTCCTTTCTGGATCCTTGATTTTCCACCAACAAACTTTCATTCTCTCCCATTGCACACTTATTAATATRCAATAAGTGTATAATAATACATATTAATTAAAACTTGCCAATGAGAGGGTAACGTGTACACTAGATCCTCGTGGTTACTTCCCTGAGTAATGGACTTCTTCGACGATAAGGCGGCCATCTTGGATCTGCTCTTTTATATAGAAAAAAGCTCTAGCGATTTTCTACTTTTGAACTGAAATTCCCGCATGGGTTTCCCGTGGTATGAAAGTTTTATAACTTTATTACGTCTTAATAGGCTCGCAGAGGCTGAGACGAACGGTGACAAATATAGTCCTAAACAACTGTAAGTCGATTTTTGATATGTATCTTTCAGTCTGCATCTCTGTCTGTCTGTCTGTCTGTCTGTCTGTCTGTCTGTCTGTCTGTCTTTCCGGTTTTCCATTTTTTATTTTGTTTATTTATTCTTTCAGTGATGAGGAACATCAACTTATCGCACAGTATTGTCAAAGTTTAAAGAACGAAAACGAAAGTGCGGACGCAGTAAGTTCATTAATAAGGAGTTTCTCGCTTCAAGGATGTTTTTTTTCTCTTTCTCTCTCTGAAATCTTAAGGAGGCCTGGTAACGACTTTCACCCTTGGAAYTGTGGGGCTGGACTAAGGGTTGGTAAACGTATACCTCCAAACTCAATAATACAGTTTTAACTTCTCTGTTACTCAAGGTTAGCCTCAATTTTGTGTAGAATATTCATGTGTTCCAGCGAAGATCCGTGGAATTTCAAAGTGTTTATATTGTTAAAGCTGTGCACTCTTTGCGTTACCGTTGGTATTTGTGGATATTTAGACACTGAAATGAGGCTAACCCTGTGTAAATGAGTCTGTAATCAAGGAACACAGCGGTATTGTRCGAATTCAAAAATGGTCTATTCAGCCCAAGTTTCATTTGAGGAGAATTTACTGGTTTTCTTCGGGAGATAAGACACCGGTAATTTATACAATTTCTCTTCCGGCTTTTTTTYCCCAGCCTCGTAGCCCTACGCAAATTGTTATGTCATTAGATGCAGACGAAAAAGATGATTTAGAAAGTGAAATCAATAAACTCGAGGATGAAAACAGGTACAAACCTTTGATTTTCTACGTGAATGGGGTTTTTATGTGACATCATTGCCGCCATAATGGATTATTTTTCCAACATGGACGGGTTTGTATAGACCTCTTCGGCTTGGGTAATGTTTTCCAATTTTAGACCACGTGTCATTCCYTTGAGAATAAGATTCTTTGTTTGAGTTGTATCCATATTCATGTGTCTTCTCATGTGCAACCGAGCGCAAACCTTAAACAAAGAAATGATACTCTAGGAAAAAGACGTGGTCTGAAATGGGAAAACATTACGTCAGAGCGAAGAGGTCTATTATCGCATGTACATCATTAAAAGAGGCCTACGATTTCATAACCTCGTTTTATTTTTTCGGCACTCGTTCCCAGGGCTCTTCAAGAAGAGTACGARCGACTAAAAGCAATTCGTGACGAGGAACRTCCGTCAGAAGGGGATTCGTCACCAGGCCCCAAAGCGCGAGATGCCGAACTACTGACTGAAGCCAAACTGCTTCGTCAACACAAAGGAAGACTGGAAGCGAGAATGCAAGTCCTTGAAGACCATAACAGGCAGCTAGAAGCACAGTTACAACGTCTGCGACAACTCTTAGATCAACCGAATCAAGAGAACCGAAGCCCGCCTGCTTATTCCCGGGGTACAACCCCTGCGTCATCAGCATCCTCCCTTGGGGACCCCCCAGGTCGATCGGCGGCGCGGTCGCCAAGACCTCGGGGCCTSGAAAGCGACACAGAGTCTGATCAGGGTAGGAACGCGTCGCCTGTAGAAACAAGGAAAAGTGAGTGATGCTGATGTTGATGATTTCTATTGGTTTGGTGTCTGTAGGTATGTTGATCCGTATGTGTGTGTGTGATTGTCAGTGACCAAGGCAGGCACTTAGGACTTGTACAGACTACTGACTGATTGTTGGAACGTACACGGTAAAGCAAATTATTCATTCCCTTGTCATCTAAAAGTGCTGTTTGGGATTCCTGTGAAATGTCGACCATATGACTGTCGACTGCCTGTAGTTTGACCTGCTTTTATAGTGTCCTCGTAGTCTCTATTTCTCTAAGTCATGCGGAGGAATGGTAAAATGTCTGTTCTGCCTGTATGTCATGTCTGTCTGTCTGTTATTTTCTTTTGTCGTCTTATTCAAAACGCTATAGTAAATACTTTATATGTCAAGCTATTCATAACTTTACAACCTCWTTAAAAACCTTACCAGCTTTCCTAATTTGTTTAACATAATTTAAATGTTATTTAACTCAATTAAAGGCGCAATTACAGGGAGCAATTTTCTCTGCAACTTATCTCGCAATGGCGTTGCGGCACAAGTTGCATGGAGCATTGCAGCGTGTAACCTACAGCGCAGTTTGAAAAATGGTGCGAGACAAGTTGCAGCAATCGTTGTAGAAAGTAGAATTCGTATTTACTTTTAGCAACGATTGCGTCTACGTTGTACCGTGTAAACACTCTTGCAAATTGTCGCAACGCTTTTTGAGAGACAAGTTGCAGCGAAAATTGCTACTTGTAATCGCGCCTTAAAAGCGCCCTAAAACTTTGTTATAAGCGTAAATCAAAAAAGCTGTCTCTCCCCAAACATCTCTAATGTTCTCTCGTATTATACCTTCTCCTTCGCGGCCCAAAAAAGATATCCTCTAGTTGGACGGGAATCCTTCTAACCTCTCCACTCGGTTCATGTTTTAATTACTAATCAGTCATCCTGTGCTTACAAGTGACAAGTGTTTTCTTTGAAGCATAATATTAGTGATTTTAATTAACCTGCTAAGATACATATACGTAAGGGGCTGGGGAGGAGGAAAACAACGGAAGGGGAGAGGAGACCGGAGGAAAAGAGAGAGGAGGGAAAGAAAGAATAGAAGTGGGAAGGGAGACAAGATGGTAGGAAAACAGAGGATGGGAGGGAAAGAAAGGTGATTTGAGTGGAGGGAGGGATGGTAGAAATATATGATTTGTTTGGTTTGCTAAAATCTTCATAACTAGGAGGCCAATGAGTGCTTAATAACAAGTTTACTAACAATGCTATTCATGCTGACACGAGTGAAAAACGTCTGCGCATGCTCTGAATCCGTWTGCAAATTAGTATGCAAACATAAGTAAATTTGACTTGGACTTCACAAAATGCCAAAACTTAGTGTCCATATATTGTGTTTGTTAATACAGTATCTTGGTCTGACAAAAGCATAYTCTCGAATTTTTTTGTATACTTGGAAAAAACAAACATTTTCTCACTCAAACTCTTCAAAATTCTTAGAAAACGTGCTGAAGTGCACGCATGCGCAAACGTTTTTCTCTAGCGTCATTCATGCWAACAAAAATGAGTTCGATTTTATAGAAAACGACTAATTTTCCTTTTTTCATTTTATTCACTTCTTATCCACTTTGTGGGATAAGATGGGTGGAGGGGGGGGGTAGAATAATGTTTATAGAAAGTTTATAGAAAGACGAGTTATTGTTGCTACTATGATGTAATTCTTGACCACAGGGTGACCACCAATGTATTGTTTATTCACAGCTCAAGATTCTGTTAGTGATCTATTCAGTACGGCTCATGATGTGAATAAAGCAGTCGAAAACCTTGTTCAAGTCATGACTGACGACGAAACCACGTGAGCAACCCAACAGACCAATCAATCCGAAAGGAAAAATCACATGGAGTGATGACTTAATACCACACAGGGATCCCATAGATAATGAAATAATTTTAGTTGAAGGGTAAAARCTAGGTAACACAGGGATCCCGTACATGAAAATATATTAATTGAGAAGGCCTAGGAGAGACATATTCATAATAATTTTAGGAGAATTATTAAATTGTAAAGAAAACAAAAGGTAACCATAGCAACCATTGTTGAAAATAATTAAGAAGGCAGCAAACCCAAAAGATTGCTTGGACATAACCATGCAAGCCCCGTTGGCCAAATACTACGTAAAAGTCTTTACCAAGGAAAGGCTTTCWTTTACATTTGACGACGAAATTGTCCTTGGTAAAAACGTTTTGCAACAAAATGTCARAATTTTTTTACTTTTCGATGCAAAAATATTACTCGTTATTGGTTATAAAACTTGTTAATCTTGTTAAGARTTTTACATGCTGATGTGCTTTGCGACCGATCCTTTATGTATAACCGTGAGGGACTAAGTTTATATTAACTGCAAACCATTGGGGGAAATTTATTCTCAGCCGTGCAAGTTTAATATTAACTCAATATTAACTTAATGCACGGAAAGGTTACTTGAACTAATCTAATATTAAAATGTTCAAAATATAATTATATATTTTTGTTAACAGTTTCTTTGTAAGTAATACTTTCTTAGCGCCCAAGAGAAGCCTGGGTCTTATTGGCAACGAAGGGAAATTTGCCCTATTCTATTASGTGGCCTGCAGTAAAGGCCAGCCAAGCTAGCTGACTCTTAGTTTTATCATCCTTCAACTGGATATTTTATAATCTACACCTATACAATTACTAGGTTATTTTATATAAAGTTCATGTTTTGTATGGATTCAGTAATGAATTAAACCACTATTAACTATATATACTTACAACAATTTGTTTTACTCACGGTTTTCGTAA